GTGATTGGCTAATTTTTGTTTTGTTTTTTTTTTTTTAGTAAAAACAGGGTCTCAGTGTGTTACCAGGCTGGTCTTGAACTCCTGGGCTCAAGCGATCCTCCTGTCCCAGCATCCCAAAGTATTGGAATGACACTTTGAGCCACCGCACCCCACGTAAATTACCTTCTGGTTCATTCAGAAAGGTATCAGTTATGTTCTATTCTTATGAGAAGAGAGAAAAATACTCAAGTCTGTTTCTGGGTTCTGTGGTTGAGACGAGGAACCCCACTGAGGATAACTATGTGACAGCTTACTATTTATTTTACTGCATTCTGACTGTTTTTAAAGAAAAAAATATAGTTGTTTGGCAAGTAAACGTAATTTATTCCAAATATTTAATTTACCAAAATAAGCATCATGCCAGTGTACATTATGTGGGACTACATGAATACTATGACTCTTCAATGGTAGGACATTTTTGCAGATGTTTTCTTTTATCTGAAATGGACAAATGGGACCCTTTCAGGTTTATAGAAAATGCAATGGGGGACTGGGCATGGTGGCCCATGCGTATAACCCCAACACTTTGGGATGCCAAGGTGGGTGGATCACCTGAGGTCAGGAGTGCAAGATCAGCCTGGCCAACATGGTGAAACCCCATCTCTACTAAAACTATGAAAATAAGGTGGTGCACGCCTGTAATCCCAGCTACTCAGGAGGCTGAGGCAGAAGAACCACTTGAGCCTGGGAGGCAGAGGTTGCAGTGAGCTGAGATCGCACCAGGGCACTCCAGCCTGGATGGAGAAAGACTTTGTCTCAGACACACACACAAAAAAAGGCAACAAGAGGAGAGTTCCAGAAGGGACAAGCTGGCCCCATCATACTGGGAACAAGAACTAGGGTTTCTTGACCCCTAATGAAATCTTCTCTCCCGTTCTCTGCTCTTTTTCTGTCTGAAGCATGTTTTCTGATTCTTTTCCATTAAGTGCATCATGAGCATTCGCTGGGAGAGCACTTTTGAAGCATCCTCATTCTTTCACGCAATCACTTAGCATCGTTGTTCTGTGAAATCTGTGGTTTGGAAACCTTCGTGTTGCCCCTAATCACATGCTTTTCAGTCCTCCTCTCCCCTTCCTTGAATTCCTAGAATGTGTGCACCTGATAATCAAGACTTATTCATTGGAAGTCTTCTTGCATTTGACGTGGATAATACAAATTTTACTCGTGAAATGCTACTCAGGGTCTCATTTTTGAATGAAGACGTTGATTTACTTACATTTTCAGAACACACACAATAGGCAGAGAATTAAAATAATGGACAACAACTAATAGAAAACAGGTGTGACTCTGAAACTCAAATTGTGCATTCTCCGGTCTTGGAGAAGCGCTGGGAGAAGAATGTTTACCATACAATAACGGAGACAGCAAAAAAATAAAATGAAATAAACAATACATTCCCATTGAATGAGTGCAGCTTTCCAGCTGGGGCCCATTTCAGCATCTAGCAGCACAACCAAAAATGAACAGACAAAGACAGCTAAACTAGGTTGGTATTATTTCCCCTAGACACTGGGAAGAAGATGGCAAGAGTGTAATTTGATTTCAGTAAAATGTTTTCTAAACAAGTTTGGGGACCGTATCATCTGGGTTGACAAATCGAATACCCGGTCTGAAGTTCCTCTAATAAGGCGGATGCAGTGACTTCATAAGAGGAACCCATCACTCAAATTCACACTTGAGGTGCAGTGGCTTATGCCTGTAATCCTGGCACTTCCGGAGGCTGAGGCAGGCGGATCACTTGAGGTTAGGAGTTCAAGACCAGCAGCCTGGGCAATGTGGTGAAAACTCATCTTTACTAAAAATACAACAAAGTTGCCAGGCATGGCAACTGTAATCCCAGCTACTCGGGAGGCTGAGGCAGGAGAGCTGTTTGAAACTCGGGGGGCAAAGGTTTCGGTGAGCTGAGATCGTGCCACTGCACTCCAGCCTGGGCAACAGAGCGATAAACAAACAAATGTGCAAACATCTACAGCTGAGAAGGTGACAAAATTTAAGAGAAATACAGAAATGCACCAAAGGCCAAGCCTTCAGACTAGCTCCTGATGTGTGACAAGGGAGGGTTTAATCTGCTGACCTGCAATCCCCAGAAGAACCTGAAAGTGAAAAGGACTAACACGTGTGGTTCTTTCTTCTTTTGTTTTGGTTGTCTTTCGGTGACAGGGTCTTGATGCATCACCCAGGCTGAACTGCAGTGGCATAATCATGGCTCACTGCAGCCTTGAACTTCTGGTGTCAAGCCATCCTCTTGCCTCAAACTCCCTAGTAGTAGCTGAGACTAAGGGCACACACCACCACTCCTAATTTTTTTTTCTGTAGATACGGGGTCTTGCTATGTTGCCCAGGCTGGCCTAGAAGTCCTGGGCTCAAGGGATCCTCCCGCCTCAACTTCCCAAAGTGTTGACATTACAGGCATGGGCTGCATTCTGGTAATCCTGTGCCCACTCGCGCTGTAACACTGAATTCGCTCCATAGGCCAGTTTTGGCTGAATGGGCCTCATGTTTGAAACATCTCTTTTCCTCCTGTTCTAATCTCTGAATTACACTCTGCCAAATTAGCCTGACTCCATCCCCAGGACACTTCTGCAGATGTCATTGCATAGAGGCAGATCCATGTCACTTAGTGAACTGAGAAGGGGTAGAAAACCTGTCATTTTTCTTTTTTCTTTTTTTTTTTTTTTTTTTTGCAGTCTCACTCTGTTGCCCAGGCTGGAGTGCAATGGCATGATTTCGGCTCACTGCAACCTCCATCTCCTGGGTTCAAGCAATTCTTCTGCCTCAGACTCCCAAATAGCTGGGATTATAGGCATGCGTCACCACGCTCACCTAATTTGTTTTTTTGTATTTTTAGTAGAGACGGGGTTTCACCATGTTGACCAGGCTTGTCTCAAACTCTTGACCTCAGGTGATCCACCCACCTCAGCCTCCCAAACTACTAGGATTACAGGCCTGAGCCACTGTGCCGGGCCAATAAACCAGAAAGGATTCATTCCCTAAGCTGGGAATTGAACTGAGGACACTATCGTGAAGGAATAGAGCTTTAGTTACTGAGCTAATGCACAGGGTCAAGTTTCTTTTGGACACTGACCACCTAGAAAATCCAGGTAGGAAAGAGAAGAGAAGAACTGGAAAGCTCTGTGACAGAAAAAAAACACAGGCCTTATAAACAAAGATGATGAAGAAAGACACCTGTAAACCCCATTGATATCTCCCATTCGTGTTAGCTTCCTTCCGCCTTTAAGGTGGCCTGGGGGCCAGCTGCAGTGACTCCGGCCTGTATCCCAGTGCTTTGGGAGGCCAAGGCAGGAGGATCACTTGAGGCCAGGAGTTAAGAGACCAGCCTGGGCAACAGGGCAAGACCCTCTGTCTACAAAAATTCTAAAAATTAGCCAGGTGCAGTGGGGCACACCTGTAGTCCTAGCAACTCAGAGGGCTGAGGTGGGAGGATTACTTGAAACCAGGAGTTTGAGGCTGCAGTGAGCTAAGGCTATGCCACTGAACTCCAGCCTGGGTCTGGCTCCAGAGCAATACCTCATTCTGCCAACCTCCCACCCCCAAAAAGTGTCTGGCCATAGCACCTCAGATTCTCTTTTATAGACAGTAAGAGCCAAAAGTTTGGAAGAAACGTTAGAGAAGTCATCTAGTCCAAGTTTGTATTCAAGACAGGGTCCACTATGGCCATGACTCTCAATATCCTGTTTCCATGTGACACCAACGCTTTAAAACCTCTAGGGCTGTGGTTTTCATGTCCAAGCAGGCAGCTGGCACTCAGGCAGATTTTATTATTAAAAATGAGTCCAAGGGGCTGAGCATGGTGGCTCGTGCCTGTAGTCACTGCACCTTGGGAGGCTGAGGCAGGCAGATCATTTGAGCCAAGAAGTTCAACACCAGCCTGGGCAACACGGCAAAATCCTATCTCTACAAAAAATACAAAAATTAGATGGGCAAAGTAGTGCGTACCTATAGTCCCAGCTACTCAGGAGGCTGAGGTAGGCAGATCGCTTGAACCCGGGAGGTGGAGGTTGCAATGAGCCCAGATAGCATCACTGCACTCCAGCCTGAGCAACAGAGCAAGAGCCTATCTAAAAAAAAAAAGGAAAAAAAGAGGCCAAAGCAGGAGGACTGCTTGAGCCCAGGAGTCTGAGACCAGCCTGGGCAACACAGCAAGACCCTATATCTATCAAACATAAAAAAAATTAGTAGGTTGTCCCTGTGGTCTCAGCTACTCAGGAGGCTAAGGCAGGAGGATCAGGAGGATCATTTGAGCCCAGGAGTTTGAGGCTACAGTGAGCCACGATCCCACCACTGCACTCCAGCCTGGGCAACAGAGTGAGATCCTGTCTCAAAATAAACAAATAATTTAAAAGGCCTTGATTGTTCATTGGCCTATTGGTGCCCGCTCTACATTCTGGAGCTGCCTGCAGCAATTCTTCCTCCTAGAACAATCCTCCAGAGATTAGAAGACCCCCGTTGGTCCTTCCCCATGAGATCTCCCTTTTCCTTTCAGTTTTTTCAATGGTTCCTTTTCCTGATTTAGAATCAAGTTCAAATGCATGGACCTGGGAGACCCACCATGACCTGACTCACACCTGTCTCTGTCCAGCCCCATAGTTCCTCAGTGATTGCATCACACGTGAGACTTCCACAAAACCTGGTTGTCCATACACATTGCTGCCATAGGTTTCCATGCCTCAGCTCATGGTTTGCCACTTTTATTTTGTTTTCTTTTTTTTTAATGTGAAACATGTTTCCCTGACTCCTCTTTACTTCTCCACCTTCTTCTTGAGGTGGTAGATCTTCAAGACTCGCTCAGGCCAGGTGGCCTCTAAGAAACCTTCATTACTACCACAGATCAAACCCCATGTGCTTTTCATATGCATTTCACCCCAGCATTCCTCTATTATGGCATCAATCACCATGTTATTAGAATTATCTGCATTCTAGCTAGGCATGGTGGCACTTACCTGTAGTCCCAGCTACTCGGGAGGCCTTGGTAGGAGGATCTCTTGAGTCCAGGAATTTGAGACCAGCCTAGTCAACATAGCAAGACCCTGTGCCTACAAAAAAAAAAAAAGGCAAAAAATTAGCTAGGCATGATGACATGCACCTGTAGTCCCAGCTACTCTGGAGGTCTAGGCAGGAGGATCACTGGAATCCAGGAGTTCAAGACCAGCCTAGGCAACATAGCAAGACCCTGTCTCTACCAAAAGATAAAACATTTGAACATGTGGTAGCATGGACCTGAAGTCCCAGCTACTTCGGAAGCTCAGGCAGCAGGATTGCTTGAGCCTCAAAGTTGAGGCTACAGTGAGCTATGATCACACCACTGTACTCAAGCCTGGATAACAAAGCAAGTCTCAAAAAAAAAATCATAAAGGATACAAACAAACGAAATAAACAGCCATATGAAGAGATACAGGGCAGTGCATGGGGAAAAGGAGCACAGCTCTGAAACCCTCTCTAGGCACACCACCCTGCCAGCATCTTAATGCGTTCCCACTCAAAAGCTCTCTGAGTCCCATCCTTTACAGGTTCCGTTATGTAGGAACAATTCATTAAGTCACTTGCCATTGGTGATTCAATCTCCAGCCCCTCACCTCTCCCTGGAGGTCAGGGTGTGGGGCTGAAAGTTCCAGCCCACTAATGCAACGTTGGTTCCTCTGACAACAAGCCCCCATCCTCGTGAGCATAAACTCAAGGGTGGATGAAAGGAGCTTATTATGAATAACAAAAGCTGCTCCTGAGTCAAATGGGAGTTTTGTTTTAAGTTCTTTGAGAAATCGCCAAACCGCTTTCCACAACAGCTGAATGAATTTACACTCCCACCAGCAGTGTATAAGCATTCCCTTGTCTGGGCAACCTCGCCAGCATCTTTTATATTTTGACTTTTTAATAATAGCCGTCTTGACTGGTATAAGATGTTATCTCATTGAGATTTAGATTTGCATTTCTCTAATGATTCGTGATGTTGAGCATTTTTCTATGTTTTGTTGGCCACACGTATGTCTTCTTTTTTAAGTGTCTATTCACGGTTTTTGCCCACTTTTTAATGGAGTTGTTTGGTTTTTTTTTGTTGTTAATTTGTTTAAATTTCTTATAGATTCTGGATATTAGTTGTTGATCAAATGCATAGTTTGGAGATATTTCCGCCCATTCTGTAGGTTGTCTGTTTGTCGATAGTTTCTTTTGCTGTGCAGAAGCACTTTAGTTTAATTAGCTCACATTTGTCAATTTTTGTTTTGGCTGCAATTGCTTTTGGTGAAAAACTGCCTCTACTTATTACCTGGGTGACAAAATAATCTGTACACTAAACCCCCGTGACATGCAATTTACCTATAACAAACCTGCACTTCAGGTCAGCTGCAGAGAGCCACTCACTCATGGTCATACCACAAAGGTGTCAACCAAAAATAAAATTCCAAGCCCCCCAACCAACTAACTGAACCCCTTTCTTGAACAAGGGGATTTGAAAAAGAAAACTAAAAAACTAGTTCAGGCTATGAGAGAAAGAGGGGGACATGTCCCAATATACCCCTTCAGTACTGGCCCTTGGAGTGTCCCAAGATGAGCAAAAACATCCTAGCCTTTCTATTCCCACCACATTCAGGATGTGCCTTAGATGTGGGTTACTGCTGTTGACTAAAAAGAGCCAAACTCTGTAAAACATTTGAAGACGTTTATCCTGAGCCAAATAACAGTGACCATGACCCATGACACAGCCTCAGGAGGTCTTGAGAACATGTGCCCAGGTAGTGCGGTTACAGCTTGGTTTTATGCATTTTAGGGAGACGGAAGTGTGGAACTTAGGCACAAGTAACCAACATTAACATTAAAATAGAGATCATAAGACCACAAAACAGACATTTTGTAGTAATAATGTCAGAGGCATTTGAACTGGAGTGGCCAGAGTGACTCCATCTTGAATAGGGGCTGCGTAAAATAGGGCTGAGGACTGCTAGGCTACATTCCCAGGAGGTGAGGCATTCTTGGTCACAGGATAAGACAGGAGGTTGGCACAAGATACAGGTCACAAAGACCTTGCTGATAAAACAGGATGCAGTAAAGAAGTCAGCCAAAACCCACCAAAACCAAGATGGTGACAAAAGTGACCTCTGGTTGTCCTCACTGCTCATTACACTCTAATTATACTACATTAGCATGCTAAGAGACACTCCCACCAGCACCATGACAGTTTACAAATGCCATGGCAACACCCGGAAATTACCCTATATGGTGTTAAGAGGGAGAAACTCTTGGTTCCAGGAACTGTCCACTCCTTTCCTGGAAACTCATGAATAATCCACTTGTTGTTTAGGGTATAATCAAGAAATAACTCTAAGTATCCTTAGTCAAGCAGCTCACACCACCGCTGCTCTGCCTATGGAGTACCACGCTTTATTCCTTCACTTTCCTAATAAACTTGCTTTCACTTTACTCTATGGCCTCACCCCAGATTCTTTCTTGTGCAAAATCCGGGAGCCTTCTCTTGGGGTCTGAATCAGAACCCCTTTCCAGTAACCATAAGATACAAGTTTCCAATCTGATTCTGGTACAGCATCATATACCAGAAATGTGCATTCTGTAGAGAATCTCCTTCCCTTTCCAGGCCTTTTCCTGACCCAGGAGAAATTACTAAGAGTCTGACACTCTTGAGATCCTAAAAGAGGCATTTACCATCCATTCTCTCTGAAGCCTGTAATCTAGAGGCTGTATCTACATAAAACATAACCTCCTTATCTTAACTCAAGCATTTATTTCTGCTGACTTCAACTCTTAAGGCAAAGCTAACTTCTTCAACCAATTGGTCAATCCGAAAATCTTTAAATGTACCTAATGACATGTAAGCTCCAGCTTCAAGATGTCCTGTGTTTCCGGCTGAACCAATGTATACCTTCCCTGAAGATATTACCAGAAAGGGGCCCAGTCCAGACCGCAAGAGAAGGTTCTTAGACTTTGCACAAGAAAGAATTTAGGAGAAGTCCATATAGTAGAATAAAATCAAGTTTACTAAGAAAGTAAAGGAATAAAGAATGGTTACTCCACAGGCAGAGCAGCAGCATATGCCACTCCACTGAGGATACTTATTCTTACCTCTCGATTACAGTGAACTTTCCAGGAAAGGAGTCGGCAATTCCTGGAACTGAGGGTTCTTCCCCTTTTTTAGACATTATAGGGTAATTTCCAGGTGTTGCCATGGCATCTGTAAACTGTCATGGTGCTGGTCTGAGTGTCTCTTAGCATGCTAATGCATTATAACTAACAAACAATGAGCAGTGAGGATAACCAGAGGTCACTTTTGCCACTTTGGTTTTGGTGAGCTGCTCTTTTTTTTGGTGGCGGGGGGGACGGAGTTTCACTCTTGTTGCCCAGGCTGGAATATAATAGCACCATCTTGGCTCACCACAACCTCTACCTCCGAGGTTCAAGTGATTTTCCTGCCTCAGCCTCCCAAGTAGCTGGGATTGCAGGCATGTGCCACCACACCCAGCTAATTTTGTATTTTTGGTAGAAGCGGGGTTTCTCCATGTTGGTCAGGCTGGACTCGAACTCCTGACCTCAGATGATCTGCCTGCCTCAGCCTATCAGCCTCCCAAAGTGCTGGGATTTCAGGTATGAGCCACCACACCCACTGGCCAGCTTCTTTACTGCATCTTGTTTTATCAGCAAGGTCTTTGTGATCTCACTGTGTTGTACCAACTCCTATCTCATCCTGTGACTGAGAATGCCTGACTTCCTGGGAATGCAGCCCAGTAGGTCTCAGCCTTATTTTACCCAGCCCCTCTTCAAGATGGAGTCTCTCTGGTTTAAACATATTTTGACAGATTGGTTTATGTCTTTACCTATAACTTCTGTCTCCCTAAAATGCATAAAACCAAGCTGTAACCCCACCACCTTGGGCACATGTTCTCAAGACCTCCTGAGGCTAGGTCACGGGCCGTGGTCACTTATTTGGCTCAGAATAAATCTCTTCCAATGTTTTACAGAGTCTGGCTTTTTTGTCAACAGCAGTAACCCGCATCTAAGGCACATCCTGGTCTTGAATGTGGTTGGAATAAGAAAGGCAGGGATTTTGTTGCTTGTCTTGGGACACTCCAGGGTCCAATAAATATCGAATCTCCTGCTTCATTGGCTGAAGATTTGTGGGTTCTGCTCCAGTTCCCCATCTTTCTTGGTTCAGTCCTGTTTCCTTCCCGCTTCCTTTCCCCATAAACATTCTGCACCCCAACCTTTGTCTCAAATCTGCTTCCAGAAAGCCCAGCCTGTGTTACCACAGTCTCTTGACTACAAACTTGCTGTTTACTTCCATAAGAATGACAGATACATATTTTTTAAGCTTGAAAAACAAACCCTCAATACATCTATGCCTGAGGCAAAGCAGGGCAGAAGATCACAGGGTTTCTGTTATGCCAAAACCTCTCCCAGGTAAATGCTGCGTGCAGGCATCTAAGCCCCTGGAGTTGCTTCAATTTATATTTCATGTGCAAACACTCAAAGGAGAGCTGCATGTGGAAGCCAGATCAAAACATTTATCCTCACTGTGTCTTGGAAAAAACTTATTAGCTGGCTGTATACAGATATTGAAGAGGAGCAGAAAAATGGAGGGAAAGGAACAAGAAAAACCACCAAACAACAAAAATATCTGTCGCTACCAGTTAAATAGAGAAGGCTGGTAGCGACAGATTTTTGGAGAACCAGGGCTGCAGATGGCTACTGTAATATATTGTTCTGCATCGCTACCAGAGCCCGTGTAGAGCAACTGCAGACCATGTCTGACATTGCCTTCGCTGACCTTTTCAATATTGCCCCAGCGCGGTGGAGCCAGTGTTTCTAGAGGAATTCAAATTGAATGTACTCAGGCAGAAAGGATCTGGCTGTGGGCAAACCCTATCAGTCTCTTCACATTTCGCCTTGTCATTCTCATGTAAATTGCAATTCTTTATTAGCATGGCCAGTCTTCTACCCAGGTGCAAGATGCGCCCGTCAAAATGTTAGCGAGGCCACATCTGCCGGCTCAGAGCAGCAGGGCTCCTCTAGCTGTGACACCAGCTCAGATCAT